AAATATAACTAGGATTATCTGCTCTTTGATAGTGCATCATATGATCATATTGAACAAAGAAAACCATGTTTAAAGTAAATAGCTTCGGTAGTTTCTTAATCTATTACCTATTAAAGGTCACAGTGACCGTAAACCTTTCCACGACAAGAATAACTTATCAGTTTATCCATTATGAAGTTCCAAGGTAGAATTCAAGTTAATGAACATATTCGAAAACTTAACCAAAAAGGTTAACCAACGGCGAAAAGTGTAGCTTTTCATAAATGAAAAAAATCGAGTTCCCTAAATATATCAAAAACGTTCAATCGGAAGTAAATAAAGGTAGCAGTCATAACCATTTGGTCACGGAGGTTCTTCATACCTTTTGATATAAATGCAAATATTGTGTAAACAAAAAAGTACTGGCAAGACAAAAAATAGGTCATCAAATCAATAAAATTACTTAAACCGAATTCTGATAGCGACAATATCATAATACCTTAAAACTTTCGTCAATCAGGGTTACAAATGAAAAAGCGAGACAAAAGAAAAATACTTATCTATTAAGAATTGAATATCAATTGTATTTTTTTCTAGAATACTCTTTGCATCGTCATGATTACCTCGATATTTAGGTTCATAAAAGAAAACATGTAAAACATAGATACTTTTGTGCATAATACATGTAATGTTAAAACAGTAATATAATAATACTTAAAATCATGATTTTTATATGAATTAACATCTAGCGACATTTAACTGTAGTATTGCGACATTTAACGGTAAGGGAAAATCGTGCGACATTTAAGGTTAACATTGCGACAATTAACGGCAAATGATTTTGCGACATTTAGCGGCGGTTGCGACAATTTGCGTCAATGGTGCGACATTTAGCGGTAAGTGCGACATTTAGCGGCGTTGCGACAAATAACAACGCCACAGACATCGTTGCTTTTGAACATATATTTTAATAATACGATGAAAAACGACGGAAAGAATCTCAAATGTTATCAAACGCATAGTATAAAATTGTGATTATAAACTTCCGTTTTGACGCGCAGATCGCTTTTGTTTTAAAAATCTGGAAACAAAGTGATCCCTCGGACGCATAAATCACAACAAAATAACAAGAGAATTGCAGACTCGGTTTGATTGAGTCTGTACATGAGGGATAATGAATATGTGCAACATCCTTTACGCCCTCTAGCACCGACTTGAGCGGTACTCAATTCTCAACAAGCCTACATTCTCTTTTTATGCTTTAAATTGTTTGAAGATTTTAGTTTAAACATATTTTATTTCTCAGAAAATAAATACATGTTACAATGTAAATATGTAAAGACATGAACATTTATAACTTGACATGTCCTGTTGAAAGATGTAACGACACTCTATGTCAATGAAAAATTCTTGTAGACAATAACCGCATAGCCCACCACCCTCAACGTTTTCTTAACACATCAAAGAACCGAGTCGTGATACTTTTGCGCAACGCAGTGTCGCTGTCCACAACACGACAAAGGGCCAACCAAAACTCGTTATTCTCTTGTCGTCTGGTCGCTAGCGAAACACAGCGCGCATTATCGCCATGTTATTTGTTTAATTGAAGACTTCACAACCACCACCACCACCACCACCACCACGAAGATATTTAAAGTTTTTTCTTTCGGTTGCCATGGCAACCAGAGTTCTGCATGGAATTAAATTCTTTGAACAATTTTTAAAGGTGACCACCAAAGGAACATTCCTGTGAAGTTTGGATGAAATTGGCTTAGTGGTTTATGAGGAGATGTCATTTAAAGTAAAAGTTTACGGACGGACGGACGACGGACGGACGGACGGACGCGACGAAAAGCGATCACAAAAGCTCACCCTGTCACTTTGTGACAGGTGAGCTAAAAATACAAAATAGTTTTGTTCGAAGACTTCTTTTCAATACATTTCGTTGTGCTTTCAACACGAACGTAGATCTAAATATAATTTGTTGTTAGTGATCAAAACATGCACTAAAAACTTAAACTGTGTTTACTTAAGTTGGCAGTTTATTCCAGTAACTGATCTGATTCGCCAGTATTTTTGATAGGTTTACACAATAATAAAATCCGGTGTCTTCTTCATGGCAAACATTTGATCACACTAAGGATATAGTGAGTGAATTTAAATATACATTATGAGGGAAGTTTCATTCAGTTTTTGAGCAAATTTGTAAATCATTTTTCCAAGTTCATTGTTCTTGGAGCTTTTAGTAAGATGACAACTTTTCCTCAGAACTTGATAGTAGTAATACTATGTGCTAGTGGAGGGGGGCGTACACGGTAACTTGCAGTTTTCAACAGGATCAATCAAACCGAGCAGGCAACAGCAAGTTACATGTGCTGCGTGGCAGCCGTAAAAGCTGTACCTTACTTAATTTCAGTATTTCTTTTTATATTTTTAAGGTCCTTCGGGATCATTGATTTCAAAACTATTTTTTTTATAATAATAGAGGATTAAATAAATAAACAGCATATGGTCTGTCAGCAATTTACATGATAAATGTTGGAGTCGTATTGAATATGATGAACAAGATCGACAAGGAAAGGCGGCGCTCAATGAACGCAGCCCCCACCCGACCCAGCAACAAGCGCCATCGGTAAGGAGTCCAGGAGGACCCCAAAGAAAAACAGGACAGGGCACAAGGCAGAGCACGGGCAGGCAAATAATAAGCAACTGACCAGGAACTAAAAGAAAACAAATAAATGAATAAATATTAGGCCCATAAAGTCAAAAGTCACAGAGGAAGGGGACATGAGATACGGGGAAGGGGGGGGGGAATAAATAAAATAAATAAAAAATAGGGACAAAGGGGAAGATACTTACCGTAGACGAACCACATTTTAAATATGATTGGGAAGTACTGAAATGCAAAATCGTTACGTTTTATCTTATTTTCAATAGTCTTATGTTTTTGTGTTAATGACTGTTACACAAGTAATTTAGAATTAACAGTTGTTATAGTCAAGCTGTGTGACTGCTTCGGCTGTGTAACTTCATTTCAAGTCCATTTCACAATTTTTGAATTTCCTAAACATTTTGACCACATGACAAAATCATTGAACTATAAGAAGAAAAACAAGGTTTGTTAAATGATTTATATCTATTGCCATCTACCATATCAGTAAATGATTTTTACATTTGTCATGTACCTGTCATTCTATTTTATAAAAGTAACTGCTGCTATAAGTAAATTCAAACGTTTTTAAAATATACTTTAATATGTCCGAATGACTTGTTTTCAAAATGTGGCCATTTTGGACGCAATTCTAAGACTAATGAGTGAAATTTGATGTGAGCGTTAATTTACAGCACGAGACAATTTATACATGTACGGTATTCTGAATCAATGAAATATTACAGGTTATTTTGGATTGTTGACAAGTTTTACAAACTTTGTCTGTTTCATGTACTACCAAAGCCACCCGCCATTTTAAAATGACAACAGCATCAGAAAAGAGTGAATTTTGTATTTCCTGAGCGAAAATAAATGTTTGCACTTTTACTCATACATGTACATGTATCATTGTCTTAATCAGGCTGATGGCGTAACGAAAAAGAAGTTCACAGAGCTCGGTTTAAAACAATAAACATTTTTTTCAAAGATGATCAAATAGAATAGAGAAAAAAACAGAGTCCCTTATGAAAGCCCAACACGGCAAAATTGAAAATGTTGCAGACTTGGTATGATTCAACATGTTCAGGGACGATAATGGTAATTGCAAGTTACCGTAGATGCCCCATAACACCGCCTTATTACATGTATATTATATATATTTCTACATAGGCAGTTCAGGCTATTTATGCACATTTTGACCACTATTTATGGTAATTTACGTGGTTTCTAAGTGCCATTGATAATGTGTAACTTGCTTTCTTATTGTTATTTCACAATATTGCACATTCAACATGTTCAAATACATTTCAAAATTTTCATGAAAATTAACATGAATCTGAAGGCGGGCTGCTTTAAAGGAAGTTAGGAAACACATACAATGGTGATCATGGTCATTCAATGTAAAATGTTCGTGCTATTCCATAAAATACGGCATATTCTCCCCAGGTGATAGACAGCTTTAAACGAGAAAACAATGCGCTATATAAATGATCTGGATTAAAGGTCAAAAGACAAATTTCAAGAGAAGGCAACATATTCAAATAGTTGTTATACAGTATTTAAGTAGGAGAACTCAAACCACGCATCTAAAAATGTCAAATTGAGGGATTTTAAAATACGACCAACACAATAATAATGTTTAGCTGAACGATCTTCAAATAAACAATATTTGTTTTCCGATTACTGTGAATGCTTCATAAAACTGAAGGTAAACAGAGCAATACATGTAGATAAAAATATCAAAAATTCAAATGACTGTTAAGTCGATTTTGACGCCTTTACCAAACCAATTACATTTAAATTGACGTAGAAAATGTGTCTTTTGCAAATTGTTTAAATCGTATGTGACCTTAAAACACAATAATACTTATTAAATACATTTATTACAGTTTTATTAAAAAATAATCCTTTCATTGAATTTTCTAAATTTCTTGTTTGATAAGTAAAATTTAATAACGAATTCAAAAATAAAAAAGAAAACTATACGTTGACTTTTTGGTTATTTTGTCAAATGGCAGTTTCCATGTATTTAAAATAGCCGCACTGTGTATTAAAAATAAAACATGTTTAAGACAGCTTAATACAAACAAGCACAATGCTATACAAAAATAACTTTATCTAATGTTCCTTATTAAAACAAATGAAAATGTTTCTTTAAACTATGAGTTTTTCAAGTTTTTACTCCACGATATTATTTCTTCACTCGGCTAACATATGAGTAAGCAAGTATTCAGGATAAAAAATTGAACATTTCTTAGATGCTTTTTATGTTTTTTTGTTATTCATCATCTAAGCAAATATTCAGGAAAACAAATTGGAACATTTTTTGATGTTATTTTTTCTATTCATAATATTTTAATATATCGCTAAAACTTCTTTGCCCACATGTCTACCAAGTAAATAAGTGGCGACGCACTTTCGTCATTACCATTATTTGGTGGGGTAACGTGCGTGTAATCATCATTCATGTTGTCTACTAATGGTAGGAGAAATACTTTATCTGAAGTTGTCTAAACAATGCTATTATTGTTCTTATCCGATCTCTTTGAACATTTAGTAATATATATTCTGTATTAATGACTCGTTATTTGTTTGTAGCCGAAATTTAATTCAGTTATCCGAGTACTATTCAACTTTTTTTCTTGTAATTATCCGTAATTATCTCCCTTGGATGCGCATAAAGATGCGCACTTTATACCTCTGGAAACGTCTTTAAATTGGTAAAACATTTTGATAGATTATTATATCCTTCAAGTTTAGCTTACCAAAATTCCTTCTAAGGCAATACTACATTAATAAATATGGTTATTTACAAGACTCAAGAAGTTGAAACAAAAAGATTTGCATGTATCTTTAACAGATTAAAGATATATATGTAACGCTTCGTGGTTTTCTGGGCGAGGATTTATCAGATGTCAATAAATAATAACTCTCCTGTGCAAAATAAATGTATTATTCCACCAAATATCAAGTATTCCATACAATTACAACAACCAAAATAACATCTTAACTGAATGACCTCAAACACACTACCACCAACACTGACCATAACATCTCTTTATATAGGTAAAAGCTATTCCTCTTAATCCAAATAAACCTTTACTTCCTATAAATCTTTACAGTCCTAAAAAGTCTATATGTCCAATCAAAATTCGTCACTTATATTTATAACAGATTAGTAGGGTGCTCAAGAATGCTAATGATGATATATTGTAAGACAGTACAACATGATGCCGCCCTTTGAGAGATAGATTTTCGTAACCGATAAATGAATTGTGTGTAAAATGAGCAACAATGAGGAACTTATGGTCTTTCGCCAACACTCAATTACTTCATTCTATAATTGATCAACCGATAACGATTGTAAAGCAGCAACAAACAGATGTGTTTCCTTTGACTTGAAACGGCTTTAATTGACCGAAACATTTAACCTTGAAGTAGACAACATGATGCTTTTCTTATAAAAAAAACAATTGGACTCGCCCGATTTGAAGAGGGAGCAGTAACGAAGAAAGTTAAAACACGCAAAAATATTTCTTCATTTTGAAAAATGCCCCAAATTCAAAGAAATTTACAAAGTAAGCGCATTTTATGCAATATATTAATTATGCCACCTACAAAGAAGTGGGGGTATATTGCTTTGCATTTGTCTGTCGGTCCGTATAGCAAATGTTTTCCGAGTGATAACAAAAGAACGCTTAGGCCTAGGAACTTCAAACTTGGTATGATGATTGTTCACGACCAGTAGATGACCCCTATTGATTTTGGGGTCAAAGATATATGTAATTTCCGTGGTTTTCGTAGATAAATGTACATATCTTACGCGTTCGCCTCATACAATTTCCATAGTTCATATGTTCATCTAGACACCCTGACATTTAACCATGATCCCCACAAATCTCCACCGTGACAAAAATAATTTATATGTATATCTTTATGATCCCCTGGTCGTCTTAAGTAATCGAATAATACATGTACGATAATAAAGTATATGTCATCAACATGATCCCCTTATAGTCTAACGTGATCACCTCATACATGTTCGATAATAAACAGAGTATATTTACATCTAAATAACCCCCTGGGTATCTTACGCGATCCCCCATACATGTTCCATAATCAATAGAGTATAATTATGTACAACTTCCCCTTACATGATCCCGTCATACATGTCCCATAACAAATAGAGTATAATCATGTTCATCAACATGATCTCCTGGTCGCTTTACGGATATATGAACATCTAGAAATATATCCTGGTCATCTTCCATGATACACTCATACCTTTTCCATAATGAATAAGGTATATATACATCTACATGATACCCTGGTCGCCTTACGATATCTCCTCATACATGTTCAATAATAAACAGAGTATAATAAGTAACATCTAAATGACCCCCTGGTCGCCTTACGATATCCCTCATACATGTTCAATAATCAATAGAGTATAATTATGTACATCTTCATAATCCCCTTGTCCCCTTACCTGATCCCGTAATACATGTTCCATAACAAATAGAGTATAATCAAGTTCATCAACATGATCCCCTGGTCGCTTTACGGATATATGTACATCTAGATAATCTCTTTGTCATCTCCCAAGATACCCTCATACCTTTTCCATAATTATTAAGGTATATATACATCTGCATGATACCCTAGTCGCATTACGTGATCCCCACATACATGCTCCATAACAAATAGAGTATTTGTTTATATACACGATCCTCTGGTCGCTTTACGAGAACATGTACCTCTAGATAATCTCCTGGTTATCTCACATGATACCCTCATACATGGTCCATAATGAATAGAGTATATGTACATAAATGTGATACCCTCATGTATATTCCATAAAAACAAGAGTGTGTACACTTAAATAAAACCTTGGTCATAATTAGGATATCACACATGTTTTATATAAGAACTACAGTGCATGCACATTTAGATAATGTAGATGATCCGAATATTAGTTTACTTGATCCATTTAATATATTTACATATTTATTCTATCAGAACTAGAACACTAGATTCGTTTTATGATCTTTTGGCATTTTAAGTGATAACTAGAGTTTTTAAGGCGACACTCACTACGACGTCGGCTACGACTGTGGTGACTACAAATAACACTTCAACTACTACGGCAAAAATGACACCGATGACGACTTCGACTGACGCTGACTAATATAACTACGACTTTAACAACAACTCCGGTATAACGACGTCGTTTTGGCCTAAGTGAACTTAACCTTTGACTTACTGACCTAACAGATATTAGCTGTGTACGTTGTCAACTTATGAGTACGTACAAGACACAGTATGCTATATACGCCGTTAGATGTATACGTTATCCTTTGGTATGTTTGATTCTTACAAATTTATACTAATTGCGAAAAGGGATTAAAAGTAAAGTGACAAAAAATAACTTACTTTGTTTACTTTCTTCATATTTTGATTCTGTCTCTGCTTTGTCATCTACATTAAAACATTCAAATACATTGATTTAATCTTTGCAAACATGTATCACAAATAAATGTAAGGACTGTTGTCTGCATTTAATTGAATTCGATTTTATCAGACTGAATTAAATAAATGATAAATAAGGTGACAGATTTTATGAGCACTAAATTACAATCATAAAAAGAAGTAAAGATTGTTCTATTAAATTGATGATAAATATCATGAATGTAACAAACATTTGAAGTATTTGGAAGAAAGCTACACAACTTTCCGAAATGATTGAGATAAGACAATCATAAGTTTCATAATAATTTGAAAAGAAATATCCATTATTCATCACTGTATTTTAAGCTTTTCATGGTAAGATTATTTTCAGTTTTGTTTTAAATTGCACATACAAAATATCCAACATCTTAAAATATTGTCAAAATTGAGATTTACCTTTTCTAGTTTCTTCCTTTACCTTTAAATCTTGTATTTGTTTAGCATGGTCACAAGTTTTCTTGTTTAATTCACTAATACTCTGTGTATGCTTTCTCGTGATTTGATCTTGCAATTTCAGAGTACATTTTATCTTCTCGTCTTCCATTTTCAACAGTTTTAATTCAGCTTCTACACCCGTTTCTAACTTATGCCAACTGTCTATGGCTTTCTGGACCCTTCTCTCCGCCTGTGGATCAAGTGGATTTACTTTAAAGTCATCAATCATTGTTTGAAGGTCTGGTATGGGAGACACCGTCGTATTCAGCCTCAAAAGAACCTGGAAATAGACACGCTTAACACCATCAATTTTGTCAAGATTTCATGCAATATCATATACCAAAACATTAACATAAACATATATATTGAAAAATAAAAAGTAAACGTATTTTCTTAAACATCTGTTGTTATTATTATATTCACATCTTTTTAATACTTCCAGATACATATTAAGAGAAGTTCAATATGAGAATTATGTTGATACTTAGAAACAACTGGACAGCCTGTCCTTATAAAAGATACAGTTACTGTAACATACTTTTGTGAGTGCAATAAGATTAAGAAATGAAAACGACAAGAGCATTGACTATTGACACTGAACCTAAAGTAAGTTTCTGCTAATTATGTTATAGCAGAGAATGACGTAACCTGAAAGAACACAGGTCTTCCTTATCAGGAAGAATACCAGAAAACGTTATCTAAGGGTTCCAGGTGAATGCTTAAGCTTATGTCACATATTATGCTCCGACACGCCGGTGGCGGGGTGCTGAAGGGTTTTTCGATGTATTGGGATTTAATTTAATCTGTAGATCGGCGCATCGGATTGACCTCTTAAATAGCGGTTTTTTTTATCAGTGAGGTGCCGGCCAGTTTCCTTTTCTGCTAATTTTTGCGATCGATCGGTAGAATTTTTGGGTTTTGGAAAAGTGTCAACCTCGGTGACTTATCGCCGGCGTTCGCCCATTTTCGACCGACTTTGTATGCATCGATGAAGTTTGAGAATTTGTCTGACCCTTCCTACGCTGACAGGTTTTGTTTTTTGTTTCTGTTTTGGTAACAATACGCCGGCAGAACAATATTTTATCACCGACTTTTCGGTGACTCAAGTGCTGGCTTATCGCCGATCAAAGGAAATAGCCGTCGCCGGAGTTACGCCTTGATGTGACCGCTAGTCAATCAGCTCACCCCACAGACACATAAATACAAACACTTCGTTCGGTTGATAATTCCCACCGATGAGCAAAACAATGTTGGGTTGCTCATGTTTAAAGTCTCCTTTAATGAATTTTCAGAGGGAACACTATCGTAAACTTTAACCGTTGTATTGTTTGGTTTTATTAACCTGTCAATTCCATACTAATTACACGGTCAATTTACACAATATATTAATCGTCGAAAGATTTTTGGTAATTTCCGTGAGATGTACTCAGTAAGATTTGATTAAATATTATTTGTGCTTATGGAGCAATTATACTGAGCGGTATAGCGGAATAGGGTAAGCTACAGGTTAATGATTTCTAAGTGTCCTAACTGTTGTGAGATCGAGACCGCGTACCTCCAATGTTTTTTTTTTGTTTTTGTTTTTTCTTCTTCTTCTTCTTCTTATAACTATTTTCAACATTATCGGAACTATATTTGCTTGTTTTGTTGCTCGTTTTGATTTAATATGTTTAGCGATTAAATTCCTTTTAAAAAATAACATGCTTTCAGAATTAAAATTTCTAATGAATTCGGATAAAAATTAGAAAATGTCATTTCAATGGCGTAAAACACAATACTAATTGAGACAATATTTCTTAGTTGATTCATATATGTGTAGACAATATTGGAAGCACTCGGTCATTTTCATGAAAATATACTGCAAAAATAAAGAAAAAGAGTAGGTCTTAAAACAACGGCAAAAGTAGGGATCGAACTACATACCCATATTAGTTATATATTAGACAATCACTCTAACGTCTCTGCTATCGCGGATTTGACATGGCCTATGCATTAAGCTGGCGTGACTTTTCAAAACATTAGTTATTTACTCCATATTAATTCTCGTAAACTACACGGACAGAACCGAAATGAAATCGAATATTTAAATGAGTGCTATAATGTATTCAAAATTGACAGGTCAATAAAATCAGACTATAAAAATGTGAAAATAATTTATGTTAGTTCCACAATTATAGAATGGTTTATATGCGTGGAGTTCTATGCTAGTAAAAATGATTTGCATTAAGTTATTTGTAACATAAAAGGTCAGTCTAACCTGTTCGATCTCCGTCCACTTTGTTGTGAAAACATTCAGCGTTATTCCACTTGTTGAAGATATGTGACTTAGCTAAAGAACGAGTGAATATATACATGTACATTATTAACAAATGCTTAGCTGTAACCAAATGAAATTAATATGTAAGGCTACTGCATCATAGGCTTATACATTTTATATAAATGTTGATACCCATTCTTCGCAATATAAAATATAATAGAACTCATCCGTATTTGTTTTCTTAAGTTAGAAATAATAAAAGAGTTACATGTATGTATAAATATAGATTTTATACAATAGATAAACTTCAATAATTCAAACGTTAGCTCAACAAAACCTTTAAAATTCCTCATATTTGTGTATCACAAGCACGTTAACTTAATATAAAGAGCATCGAAATATGAGGTCAACTGATTTGTACGAGGTCTTAGTTCTAAAGTATAAAACATGCCGAAAGTTTTGATGTTATTTTTCTCTAGTGTGTATCATACTATAGAAGGCAAAAATAAAAACTGTTTACCTCGTTCCTGTATACTTTCAGACGAAAAATATCAGCCTCAACTGAAGTATCACCTTGTGCAGGAATTGAGTTCCATTTAAAGTTCTTGTTCAGCCCGAATGTCTTGATGTTTCTAAGGAGACATATGATTAACGTGATGTCTAAGTCTGTTGTAGCTGGCCCGCTTCCACCTGATGGAAACAGCAGATCATATTGTACCTGCGTAATTATTCCGCGTGATTTTAGTTTGGTTATTGTTGACCTTTCCTGTTGCAAAAATGAGCTTAGAGAGACATTTTGAAGTTTCGTATCTAAAATATTTCTTAGTATTTGTAGTCCGCCGTCTATAATGAGCATTTGAAGACGAAACAGACGGCAACGATTTTGCTGCGCCTTTGACGACGAAGCTTGACCTGGACTGGCGGTCGCCATTTTTTTGTTATCAGATCATCACTAGTATCTGTAACAAGATAAAAATAAAATAAGATAAGAAATTAATGAATTATCAGTAAAAGCATCACATTAAGGAAACAAATGAAGAATCAGTAAGAGTATTAATTTTAAAAATAATAAATGTCTTGAAGAATTAGTGAAAGTATGAAATTGAGGAAATAAATGAAGAATCGGCAATATTATTCTGTTTATAAAATCAATGCGAATAAGTGAGAGTCTTTAGGAAATAAATAAAGAATCAGTTGGACTATAAAGTTTAAGTTATAAATGAAGAATATGTGAGAATACTATGGATTTTCTTCTTTAGGAAATATATGAGGAGTAAGTTAGAGTATTAAATTAAGGAAATAAATGTAGATCAAGGGACAGTATCGAATTTCGGAATTCAAATAAGAATCAATGAGAACATTCATTTTAGGAAATAAATGGGAAAAAAAGTGAGAGAATCAAATTTAGGGAAAAAATGGAGGAATCAGTGAGTGTTTTAAATGTAGGCAATGAAATATGAATTAATGAGAGTATCAAATGTCAGAAATAAATATATAATTAGTGAAAAGATTCTGTTTAGGAAGTGAATCAAAATATGTGACAGTATCAAATCAAAATATGTGACAGTATCAAATTTAGGAAATAAATGAAGGATCAGGAAGAGTATCCAGTTTAGGAAATAAAGAAAGATTTTGTGCGAGTATCAAGGACAGATGTAACAAGCAATTATCATTATAGTATTGCAAGCAATCCAAAAGTCCCCAACCGGTTAGAACCCTAGCAACATTCTGAAGGGCCATTATCTCGAATAAAAGTTCAAGTCGGACAAAATTCTGGAAATAGTCTTGCTAATGTATTGAACTTTCTCACAAATGATTTGAATGATAATAGCAAACCTATATTAAGATACGTTAAGCAATAAAGAAGAAAAAATTATGAAAATCAAAACATTTTTTGCATGAAAATTTTAAGTTCAAGGGAGGCAATTCTGATTATTGTTGTGCTAGAGTTGTTAACCTTGACATATATAATGTGGTTGGTGACTAGAAAGTTATATTTGAAGTTGGAAATAAATACCTTAAAAAATAAAGAAATTATAGTGAAAAGCCGAAAAACTAGAATCAGAAATTTCGACGAGGTTGCCGACGTTTGTTAAGTATGACAGCTCTCAATAAACTCACTATAGTCAAGATTAAATTGATGTGTATAATTTCCATACTACCATCTATCCATATTATAAGTTTCAGAAAAATTTTCAGCTCTTTTTGGCTAAAAACAAATATTTTTATATTTGCCATGTTTTAAGCATATTTGTTGGCATGGCAACCATTATTTTCAAAATAGGAATAAAAGATAATAACATGCATAATCAGCAGACTGTCATCTACCCATATGTCAAGTTTCAAAAAAATATTTTCAGTATTTTTTGCGTTATCACTGGATCCAGTTTATATGAAAAATTTACCATATTTTCAGTCTATTCGTTGGCATAGCAACCAGAATTTTCAACATAGGAAGAAAAAGAAAAAGACGTGCATAATTTCCAGACTGCCATCTACACATATTTCAAGTTTTATAAAACTATTTCCAGTACTTTTTGCGTTATCACTGGATCCAGTTTATATGAAAAATTTGCCATATTTTCAGTCTCTTCGTTGGCATAGCAACCACAATTTTCAACACAATAAGAAAAGAAAAAGACTTGCATAATTTCCAGATAGGAAGAAAAGAAAAAGACTTGCATAATTTCCAGACTGCCATCTATTCATATATCAAGTTTCATAAAAATATTTTCAGTACTTTTTGCGTTATCGCGGGGTCCATTTTTGTGAACGGACTGACAGACGGACGGACGGACGGAGGGTAAACCTAAAGTTCCGTCCGGTTAACCGGTAGGGGACTAAAATATGTATATATTTCTTTCGCAATTACTAAATATTTTGCGCAAACTGTTATGTTATATGTTGTGTTATTTGTTTGTTGTTTTTTATTATCAAGTCACAGCTCAGAACTGTTCATTATTTCGGGGAGAAGAAGTGTAAGCAGACGGATAGCTTAATCGGTAGTTTTGGTAAATATACGTCACTGTGAAAACAACAACATAATCATGTACAATGTTTTATTTATAAACATTCAATACTTAACATATGCCATATTCTCCACATGTCATTCCACATCTGTATTATACTCATAGGCCTATCATTCAACCAATTAAACAGAGCACCTGAACAAGTCGAGAACAAATTAATACGTCACACTTATGTGTGACGTCATATGAATAGTTGTTGATCACGTGACTACTATTTTGGTAAATATACGTCACTGTGAAAACCACAACATAATCATGTACAATGTTTTATTTATAAACATTCAATACTTAACATATGCCAATGTAATGAGTAAAAACAGAAAAAAAAAAAAATAGAAAAAAAAAAATATATAAAAAATTACAATAAAAATAAAATAAATGTATGTACTTATTTGTACAAATCATAGTAACCCACTATACTTTCATGTGCTAGCATTGAATAAAATGTCCTTAATCGTGAAATATAACATCGTCAGTGAAATTATCAGGCGTTCTTGCATTAACATAATGAGCGAAAAAAACCTCAGAATCCTTCCAACGACCAACTTTTCTTACTATTTCTGGATTAATACCCTTTTCAATGGCAGAAGTAGCACCAGTGGGGCGAAATGATTTTGCTGAAAAACCTTGACCACCAAGACCAGCTAACGTTATGGCTTCTTCTAGTACCTTAGCTATTGAACTAGCCACTAAAGCCTTATAAGGGGGTCTTAAAGTAAGGAAAATAGCATTGTCAGAAGACCTATAATTTTTTGTTCTCTCAATGTAATCCTGCAGGGTTTGAACAGGATCTAACTTTACAATACTGGCGCGAGGCAATACAATCTCAAAACCTGTACGTTTAGTATCATTCTTGATACCAAAAAATTGAATTTTGGCATCTTCATCAGAAAATGCAACTTGATCAACAGCAAAAACCACCTTCCTAACACCATCTGTGTCAACAGTCTGAGCATTAGGAGCTATATCAGATGGTCTTAACATAGCTGTCAAGGCAAGCAGAGTAATGGCTTTAAGTCTCAGGGCTTTAATATCTAATGTATTGTTGTCCTCCCATTTCAAAAACAAATCATGAAAACTACTTGTAGGCATAACCTTAGACCTTTGCATGGGCCTGGAAGTACCTGACTTAACAAGAGCACAAATCAGCATCTTTATCTCATAACTATCAGCAATGTTTGGTAAACTTTGAACTTTATATATATGACCAATAGCAGCTGTAGCAGTACGTAATACTGAGTTAGGCCTTTGTGACTGACACCCTATCAAAAATAAAAAATCTGCAAGATCTTTGTTGGCTAACGGAGGAAAAGGACATGGTCTAGACAGGCAAAAATCATACAGTTTCTCTAATATGTGGTTATATGAACGAAGCGTACTTGGAGCAATACAAAACTGAAATCTATCAGAAACCTCTAATGACCAGCCCTTAAGTTCAAGTTTGTGCCTCCATATATCCTCCAAGCATACAGGGCCCATTTTCTGTTGCGGCAGGGTTCCGCTACTCCCATTGACCGACATACTCTCGGATTGTTTGGTAACCTCAATGGTGGGGAAATGGACATTTTGACTAGACGGTGAAACCAAGTCTGACCTAACCATTTTGGGGCTATCACAGTTGCATATGCTTTTTGTGTTTGAATAACATCTAACACTTTGTGAAGTAAGCAAAATGGGGCGTTTACAAAGTTGTTTTCTAAGTGCCAGTTGACCTGAGAAAGAGCGTCCACTGCTTCGGACAATGGTTCCCAGTACCGACTGTTGAACCTCTCTAACTGACTGTTCTGACAATTTGCAAAGCGGTCGATGGTATGAGGACCCCAAAGTTTGTCTAGATATTTGAACAAATGCCGGTTTAACATCCAATTGTGTTTGTCGGGTGTCCTTGACCAATAATCCGACTCCCGATTGTTTACCCCTGATATATGTGCACACTTGACTGTGAGTCCAAGATCTATTGCTTCTGCCCATATTGCTATTGCTAAATTGGTAAGGGATGGACTTGGACCCCCCATGTGGTTTATATAAGCCACGGCTGATATATTGTCTGTTAAAATCTGAATACTCTTTCCCCGAATAAGGCTGGAAAAAGCTTTTAAAGCCATTAGTATAGCAAACATTTCTCTCTCGTTCGAAGACAGGTACGACATTCTTTTGTTCCAGTCGCCCGAAGCAACGTGACCTTTGTAAATAGCTCCCCAACCCAGATGGCTGGCATCCGTAACAATCTGACCTTGAACTACTTCTGTACATATTACTTTTTCATTCCAGTAATCAACAGATTCTAACCACCAATTAAGTTCTTGTAACACTTCAGGTGTAAGTGTAACCTGATTGGACCAACAACCCTTACACTTAGAAAGTAAACGATATGCGTTCCTGAGAAAAAGCTTGCCAGGAGATACAACCCAAGATACAGATATGCACTGACCACAAATTTGCGCTAAAAACCTAAATGTAATACGCTTGAGGTGTAACGCTTTACGTATGCTACGCTTTAGTTTAGAGGTACGAACAGAAAGCGCCTTGACTCTTACATTTTCTACAGTGCTGTAAATAGAATACCCAATATATTTAATAGATCTAGAAGGATTAAGTTGTGATTTATCAAAATTGATAGTAAAACCCAACTCAGTCAATGTTTGTAATAACTGGTCAACGTGATCAGTAGCAGTTGACCTACTAAAAGCCAACAGAAAATCGTCAACAAACGCAGTAACACGTAATCCAATAGATCTAAGATAAACAATAACAGTGCGGATAACTTTGTTAAAATAATATGGACTTGCACATAAACCAAAAGGTAGAACTTTCCACCTGTAATATGAATTATCAAACCTAAAACCTAAAAAATCTCTACAGTTTACAGCAACAGGAATGTGAAAAAAGCCATCTTTTATATCAGTTGTGACAAAATAATCTCCAGGT